TTCCTCGCCGCCATGACTAGGGCTAGGATGAGCTTTTTTAGCAGAAGGTAGCGTGTTTCAGCATCAACCACTGCCTTGCTCACATAATACACCGATCGTTGCACTCCCAGCTCTTCCTTTATCAGCACGGCGCTGACGGCCCGGTCGGAAACTGCCAGATATATAATGAGTGGGTCACCAAGAGAGGGCGTTGCCAAGAGTGGTACTGAGCGGAGGTAAGTCTTAAGGCCGTTGAAAGCGGCTTCACATTCGGAGGACCATTCAAAAGCCTTGCCCTGCCGTAGTGTATGAAAGAATTGTCGGCAGCGATCTGTGGAACGGCTGATGAACCTGTTGAGCGCGGCGGCCATCCCCATTAACTTTTGCACGTCTTTTACTGATTGGGGGGAGCTGAGCTCCAGGATTGCTGTGATCTGCCTTGGGTTAGCTTCGATTCCTCGGTGATTGACGATATATCCCAAGAATTTGCCAGAGCCGATTCCAAAGGCACATTTGGAAGCGTTCAGCTTCATTCCATATTTGCGTAGGATGCCGAATGTTTCTTCAAGATCGGCTATATGATTCTGCTTTACCTTTGACTTGACCACCATATCGTCAATGTACACTTCCATTGTGCGACCGAGTTGCTTTTTGAACACGGTGGTGACTAGTCTCTGGTAGGTTGCCCCGACGTTCTTCAGCCCAAAAGGCATAACCTTACAACAGTAGGTTCCTCTTGGGGTGAGGAATGCAGTTTTCTTCTAGTCCTCCGGATGCATGGCAATTTGATGGTAGCCTCTATAAGCATCGAGGAAACTCATGCGTTGATGGCGTGCTGTAGCATCTACTAGTTGGCCTATCCTTGGGAGAAGAAAACAGTCTTTGGGGCAGGCTTTGTTTAGGTCCGTGAAATCAACGCAGACTCGCCATGTACCATTCTTCTTCTTCACAACTACAGTATTAGAGAGCCATGTGGGATAGGTAACTTCCCTGATTGCCCCTGCATCAAGCAGCTGGTTAACCTCTTCAATCACGACGGTAGTGTGCTCTGCGGCAGATCGCCGGCTTTTCTGAACGATCGGCTTGCACTTAGGGTCAACATTCAAACGATGCTTGGAAACAGTTGGGTCGACGCCCGACATTTAATATGGAGTCTATGCAAATACATCAAGATTATCGAGCATGAAGGATACTAGCTGCTGTCTGTCGGCTTCATTCAGGGAGGCGCCGACCATGAAGAATCTCTCTGGATTGCCGTCAATCTCAATTCGGTCTAAGTCTTCCGTGGCTTTCTCATTCGGGAGCCGCCCAACATCGTCGAGGCTTTCACGATCCGGCACCTCGATGGAATTAACTTACAAATCCTTTGGCATCTTTCCGGAGAAGAGATAGCATGCTTGTGCCGATTGTTGGGAACCACGGATCTGCTCGATGCCGTATTCTGTTGGGAAGCGCAGAAGCTGATGATAGGTGCTTGGGACAGCCCGCATAGTATGCAACCAAGTTCACCCCATGATGAGATTGTACGGCGAAGGCAGCCTAACGACCAAGAATTCCACATCCAATGTTCGGGAGCCTGCTCGGACAGGTAGTATGATTTTCCCCAACGAATATTCTGGATTTGCGTTGAAACTGAATAATGGATAAGGAGCCAGAGACAAGTCTGATTCATTTAAGCCAAGTTTAATGAAGGTCTTGTAATACATAACCTCAGAAGTACTTCCCTGGTCTATGAGAACGTGCTCGATAGTAAATAGGTTGACACGTAGTTCAATGACCAATGGATCAATATAGGGGACTGTTATGCCGATAAGATCAGAATCGTCGAAGGTGATAAGATCAGAGTCATGCGGAGCTTCATGTGGCCGTTTCGCCAGCATGAGTTGCTTCTGGGATGCAGGGTGTGTTTGAACTGTATGCACGGCTGATGGTGTTGGCAGGCTGTATATCATATGGATGACTGCAAGCGGAGGTGATTCCCGCCGAAGTACAATGGGTCAGGTTGCGCACGTTTGGGCATGTTGCTGGGGCTGAACATCTTGGACCAACTCCTGAAGGTCTTTCATGGCATAGCTACTGTCACGATCGTGATCTTCGCGATATTCACACCGCCTATCCCTTCTTGTCGTGTCGGGAGGTGCCACCGCTTTTGATGGCCTGGTGTAGAACGAGGGGGCCCACTTTATATGCAAACTTTCTTTGGAGGAACTGGAAACTTCAAATCGTCCATTGTCTTCAAGCTGGGCTCGAAGTCGTCGATCACCTGCTTTTAGAGGTCGCTCAAGATTTTGGGGCACGGCTTGTTTGGATTTTTCTACCTCCAAAGCAAATCCTGATGGAGGCGTTCGTTCTCATCGATCAAGTTTTCCAACCTCTGCTCATTTTGCTTTGCCTGCTCCATGATCGCTTGCATTGCCTCATGTTCTGGAGTCGAAGGTGAGGCGAAGTTCAAAACGCATCTTGCTGGGATAAGCTCCGATCCGTTCGTGTTTGTTGGAGTGAAAATGTCTACCTGCGTGTTTTTATCAATGACTAATAGAGGGTCCTCCGTCACGTCCGCCATGGATATTCTTGAGTAGTCCCACAGACGGTGCCAATTGTGGGGAAGTGGTTTTTGGAAATACTCTTATAATCCTGGGGGACACTCGTGATCCACCGATAGGCACCTGAAAGGAAGTAAACACTCCGGTCCGGGGTGCCTGAATTAGCACTCCGACGGGCAAGTCAGTCTCTCGTTCTAGATTACTTCTATTCTAAGTTAAACAACACAATTATCACATACCTCTTTCTGGCTATTTATATCTTTTCTTCTTTGGGCCTCGGGATTAGTTTCAAATCCAACCTCCTATTCGGCATATGTTGTAATAAATTGATCTTCACTCGGCCCCTTGCTCAATCGACTATCTAGCCGAATAAGGTTGGGTCCGATTTTCTGCGGCAATGGCCGAATGTTTCGTATCTTGACTCTTCAATGTTTGACTCTCTGGAATCTCTACGACTCCCAATATTCAGCCCCCACAAAAACCAAGCTAAATGACTAGGGAGAAAAATCTAGAGACACAAATTGTGAGGGATAGTGATTCTTGAATAAGAAAGCATGTGCCTAGTTTATTTGTCTCTAATAAAGTTCATGACAACGTGTGATAGTATAGGACGATTGAGATTTTGGGGAACGAAAATAAGATTTTTGGGAGAGTAGACTCAATCTGTGTCATGCTTTAATCTTAATGTTTTATCTTTTTCATAACTAAAGTCTAGATAAAGAACATGATTATGTGTTAAATAGTTTCACAGGCAATATGTAAAAATCTATCTTAAATTTTAGAAGTATGAATCCTTCCTGTCTATTAAGTCTCGTTTGGGAGTTGATTTTTTTTCTTTATAGTGTTTTTTGATTTATTTATTTTTTCTTTTTTTATGAGTTGTAAAAAAAAAAAGATTTTAGAAAAAAATTTCAAAATAAATTTCTGAAAAATAAATGAAACATGGCTAATTTCTTTGATAATGGTTTTTGTTAGTTGTATTGAAAACTATGATTTAGATTTTTGACTTTTTTTTGTACTTTTTTTAATTTGTTTTTTTTATACTTGTCAGCTACTTTAGTCAAAATGTCAAGTTATCAAACGGCACGTAAAGCACATAATGCACATTTGGGGTAATAGTAAAAAAAAAAAAATTTAAAAAAGTACTAAGCTATTTGTCATCAACTAAAAAAAGCTAAATATTACATCAATTTTTTTTCACTCACTAGTACATATGGTCGTTTTCCCCTGCCACTACAAAAAATTACACTTTTGGGGACTAAATTTCTAGTCGCCAAAAGTCATTTTTAGTCGCCAAAAAGTTTTCCCGACTAAATAGTTTGGTCGCTGGCTTGGTCGCAGAAAGATTGTCAGGGAAGGTATTGGCGATTAAAAAAAATTTAGTCGCCGAAAGTGCTAAATTGGCTACTAAACAATTAGTCGCCAAAAGTGAAGGTATTGGCGACAAAAAAATTTTAGTCGTTGATAGGCTAAATTGGCGACTAATCTTTTAGTCGCCAAAAGCTTTCAAAAAAATTAATATCGCATTTTTAGCGACTACAACATTTAGTCGCCAAAACTAAAATTATTTTCCACGACTAATTTATTTAGTAGCGAAAAAGATTTTTTTGTTCATCTTAATTTTTTAGCTACTAAATATTTTAGTCGCCTAAAGTATAATTTCTTTTAGCTACTAAAAATTTAGTCACCTAAAGTCTATTTTTTCATTTGGCTACTAAAATTTTAGTCGCTAAATTATTATTATTTTTTTAGCTACTAACTATTTAGTTTAGTCACTAAAAATATTTACTTCCTTTTTGGCTACCAATTATTTAGTGGCCAAAAACATGATATTATTGTTATTTTAATTTGTCCATAACATAAAACATGGTATTAAAATTATTTTTATAATTTGTTCATAATTTGTCCAAAAAATAAAGTTCAAAACCAAATCTTCAATCATAGAAATGTGATTTTTGCAAGTTCACCTTCATTTTGAATTGCTAAAAGCGAATAGGTGCACCCACCAATAACATACTTAAAATCCCTCATCAGTTTCCTTCGCTCTAGAGCTCCAGTAGGATGACCCCAAACCAAAATTGCGTGAATGGCCAACATATTGAAGAGATTTATAAAAAAAAAGCCATATTCTCCTCCCTTGACATATCCTGTAGATCTACTCTTTGAACTCCTCAACTATTCTTAAATACCTACAAAAGATTTTTTAATTCAATGGCCACAAGTTCTTGAATATACATCCATGTTCATAAAAGCATACAAGTTAATTAAAAGACCGCAACAAGTTTATCCATATAAATCAAATGTTCCAACAAACCTTGCAAATTCCTCACTCTCATGGATACTTAATCAACATGTTTTCCATCTTCCGATGCATAAGCTTCAAAGATTGCATACGACAAAAATTTAAGCCTTGATGAAATTTCTATTATCGGCTTTGGCTTTACTTTTGTTATAACCCTTGGAATGTTGTGACATTGAGACATCACAATAGGATCATGATCCAAGAAGCGGTACAAGTGATTGCCATCTTCAAATAAGTTCCCGCTAAAGCAATGTAAAACGAGCACAGATAATGAAAAAATATAAATTTCTATCAGAAATATGAAATCATGTGTGTTTGTTTCTCTGTGTGTGTGTGTGTGTGTGTGTGTGAGAGAGAGAGAGAGAGAGAGAGATTAACACATTAAAAAGTTGAGTTTACTTACTCACTGAAGAACATACTGGAATAAGAGTTTGCTTGCAAGGTTTCAATCAAATTCTGTAGCCTATTTGCAACACAGGAACATATAGAAAAATGGTCAGCAAGGATAAAGCAGAAAAATCATAATACTAAATGGCAAAAATGGAATACTAAGATGGTCTCAATAAACAATCAGCCATGTACATTTAACATTGATTAACATTGTTCTTTCGCAAAGTGAACTATAAGCTATAGCTTTAGCACAAAGGGAACAGGTTGTATTCTTTACTAGGTTAAGCCAAATTTAACCAAGGTAGTAGTTCAACTTTCTCAAATACTTCAGCATTCTTAAATAATCAACTTATCAAGTTGACAGTTAGACGTAGATGACTCTATATTGTAATTTAACTTTCATCATCATGTCTCTTCTTTCCAACTGGATTTGAGTAAGTCTACATATACAAAATTAAACTACAAAATGGACTGGACCCTATCGTGCTGACGTATACATTCTTATTACTTTTTTGAAGCTAAATTTTATGTATGTAAACTTACACATTAAAATTTCACATAGAATGTGTTTCTTTAGCCATGTAAAGTGGAGTAATGCTATACAAACTAACAAATCATGCAAGCTTTTTTTACTTACTGATATGGCATTGAGTCTTGTTTCTGTTTCTAAAGTTTCATCATTGCATGACACATCAGTTAATAAATAGTGTTTCGTTTAGTTTCTATTCAAAAATATGACTAAATAGTTATTTATCCAAAAAAAATGACTAAATAGCTAAATAAATAAGTATATGAAGTTGCATTGTTATGTCTCATTAGATGGCCAAACTATGTGCTAATGACCAATTCATACGTGCACATAAAGACATACTTATTTCAAAAGACAACAAAGAAACCAATCACAAACACTATTTTTACAGCATCATTATGAAGCAAATAATAGAAACTGAACTCTCATCGAAATCCTCCATTGATCAATAGATCATTAAACAAACAAGAATTACACTAAACTCACTTGTTATCATGCCCACCCGCCACAGTGGCTCATACAAGTACGAGTAACCTCCAACACCTGTCAAAATAGTCAATGGAAGTTTTTCAATGAGAAAGTTACACACCTATTAACTTGGAAAATATTTGAATTAAATCAAACAAAAGTGTGTGATAAACAACCATGGTGGACGTATACCACGAAATACATCATGCTTCAAGTGCTATAGAAAAGAAACTCAACAATTATGTGTACACAACAATATGTCCCTTTATGGTTTACTTTGAAAAAGGCAGCATGTGAGTACAAGTAGAACCTGCATTTACATGATATAAATGCACCTCTGTTCAACTGAAAAACACAATTAAACTTGAATTATTTTTTATTGCATTTTTATTTAACAAAAATAATAATAATAATAATAATAATAATAATAATAATAATAATAATAATAATAATAATAATAATAATAATGAATTAACATGACACATAAGTAAGGTGGGAGCAATAGAAGCTACATGATATCCCTAGCAAATGCAACTAATATACAAACCATTTCTACATAAACGAACCGAGCAGCTCACAAACTTAAACCATTAAAACTTGAGAGTTTGGAGATCCAAATCCTTAAAAAATGTTCCAGTACCCCCACCCCAGCAAAACAGAGAAGCCAAATAGGTGGAGCATTCTAAAGAAAATACAACCATGAATATATATAATTTCCTATAAATAAATATTGAAAGATAATGAGATGGCTGCACCAAAATTTTCATAAAGCAAATAAGTTGGGCTGGTCATTGGATGTGCAAAATTTTTAGAAAGTGGATCGGTTCAGGTCAACTCTTCTTTCGGAATTACTCAATCACAACATACTTAAGCATCACCCATACATATGCAAATTCTCCAATATTGTAACCTTGCTGCATAACTCAATTATGTTCACATATTCACTTGATCTGTGCCTAAAATAAATGCAAAAAAGTAGCAAAAACAACACTATAGCTTAGTGATCAAATTAAACACACCACTAATATTAACCTAAAAGTTTTCCCAATTTCAACTCTACATAAATAAGAACTGAGTGTTGCATTCAAAAAAAAGATCAGAGAAGAAGAGGACTTACTGAAGAGAAGCTTGTCCAATTCTAGAAGGAGATCAGCCACCTTCTTCAATGTTGGTACTGTGCATATCATCCATTCATTCAAATTGTGACTCAGCTATTGATACTCTGCCAGTTGCATCAAATGGTAATGAAAACACCACAACTACAAAAGTAGATTAGATTTTAATGGGTTTTGATTTATATCTATGGATATATATATACACACACACAAAGAAGACTACAAGAGGAAGAAATAGTGAGGGGTGTGAGGATGATTCTGGAAATTTTCCTGGAAAGTGGAAAGAAAGAGAGAGCTTTCAAAATGGAGACTTTGAGAGAGAGAGAGAGAGAGAGAGAGAGAGAGAGAGAGAGAGGTACCTCAGGCTCGGACAAGGGTTTGCACTACATGAGCTGTGCAATCTGCTCATCACGATTCCCATGGGTATTCAAGGTGACCAGATCTACACTCATCTTCAGGATTATATACAAGAAATGATTTTGGGTCAATATGCGAACTTCACACACACAGAGAGCTCGCAATCGGTGCTCTAGTTGTCGACGACCGCAAGGAGGAGCGGCAGAGGCACGGCTGGTGGAGCGGCGGTGAAAGAGGGAGGGGAGAAGAGCAGCGGTGATGTAACGACCCCAAAGTGCGTATAGAAAGTTATCCTTATTTAATTAGGGGTTAATGTGTTTGCTATTGGAATTAAAGAACTATCCGTTGAGTTATGTCTTTGAAACTGGAATGGGTGACCTGTACCAAACAATCTGAAATTTTTTCCCTCCGCTCGAGCGAAGTAGTTGGCGCTCGAGCGTACTTTTGGGGTTTCCAGTAATTTTGCAGGCAGACTGAAATTCTGGGAGAGGTGATTTTCCGCTCGAGCGTATAAGTGGGCGCTCGAGCGGGTCGCCTGGTTAAGTTTGATTCTGAGACACGTGGACTCATTTTTGATGTTCTTCTTAGTGTGTTTGGAATGTTCTTACCTTATTTTGGGTTATTGATTGAGATGTTAATATGATGGTAAAGTAAGATTGGATCAAAAACTTTAATTTGAATAATTCGTTTACGACCAACCGTCACTCTTTTGCCCTTTTCTTTTTCCACACTTGGAATTTGGATGTGAGGTTAGAACCATTGGAAATTTTATTTTCGGGGCTTCAATTTGGACACAAGAACGACCTAAAACGGAGTCCGGATGGGAGAGTTATACCTGTTTGAAGTTTTGGAATCTGTGTTGAGAGCAGGTCCGCTCGAGCGGGAATAGGGACGCTTGAGCGGGTTTTTCGGGACAGCAGCTTTAAAAACGGGATTTTAGATCATTTCTTATATCTTTCTTCCTCCCTCTTCCTTCCTCTTTGCCTAAGTCCGAAACCCTAACTCTCAAACCTTTGATTTCATCTATTTTTACCAACAATCTACCATGGATCGTGCATCAAGGGTGAAGAAGAAGTGAAGATCCACTTTTCCAACCGATTAGATTTTGGGATTTCGAGAGGATGCATTCACCCTAGCTTCTTTGCTTCCAATTTCGAGGTAGGGGGTTCTTTTAGCCCTGAATGTTTATGATTCAAAGTGATTTTGTTGGTACTTTGGGATTTTATTGACATTTTGGAATCTTGAGTTGATTCTGGGATAGGGACACTTATGGCTTTATGTTTATGCACAATTGGGGCTTCCACTCTACTTCACAAAGGATGTTGAAGGTTTTTAGCATATTGGCATATAGTAATTGTTGATTCGGCGATTTCACTAAGAAAAGAGGAAAACCCCCAATTTTCTTGGAAACCCTAGGTTGATTAATGATGACAACCAATGAATTGGTTCAAGTTGAAAGTAGAGTAATGAAATTAAAGTATTGAAGTATATGTGTTCAAGTTGAATTGGAATTTGGGAATGTTGAAACTTATGTTTAGAATGTTGAAATAGGATTCAAGGATTTATTGTGAATTATGTGAAGTTGCAAATGGTATTGATGAACCAAGTGGTGCTGACTTTGTTGGATCATGTTGCATTGAATAATATTGGAAATTGAATGGTGTTGTACTATGATGAATTGTGTAGGGTCAACTACAGGGGTGGACCAAGCATCGGAACACTGTGAGTAATAGTACTGCAAATGCACCGTAATTACCGTTAAGAAATATTATGAACAATATTCTATTCTCCCGTGACCTAATATGTTGACCTGTGTGTTGATTGAGAACTGACGTGGACATTGAAAGAGTTAGCGCATATCGGTATGATTCTGAACCTACTCCGTATTCTGAGTTATGGCTAATGATTACTGTCAATGTGCCGTCCTAAGAATTACCTATACTTCTGTATAAAAATTGCATACAACTATTAACACTGTGAAGTTGGTTTATGAATTGGTCTGATTTACCTTCAGAATATTGGTAATGTTAAGGTTCTCTTAATTACAAAACAAGTATGTCTATGTACAAAGAACCATGAGGAAATCTAAGCCCATCATTGTACCATATGTTTAGTTTGCTGTTGATAATTAATGTTGCGACTCTGTTATCGGCAACCTTCTGTTAAGCTTATGTATCTATGTTTATTGATGTGATCAATGGGAAGAATGTGCTTATCTGTATTAATCTGTTCTGATGTTTTCTGGTATGGAACAAAGTGCTGTACCGAACTAAGTGTTACACCTTGGTGGGAGCCACCTCTAGAATTCGTACGAGCCAACTCTTGAGTCCATACATTTGTTATTTCTGTTACCCACGCCTATGCGTTCTGTTACCACGCTTTATGCGTTCTGTTACCACGCTTATGCGTTCTGTTACCCACGCTTTATCCGTTCTGTTACCCACACTTTATCCGTTCTGTTACCCCACGCTTATGCGTTCTGTTATTTCTGTTATTTTTGTTATTTCTATTATTTCTGTTAGTCCTGTTATTTCTGTTGTTTATGTTATTTCTGTTACTTCTGTTATTTTTGCTATTTCTGTTATTTCTATTATTTCTGTCATTTCCGGACCCATGGTCGTTCGGCATCTGTAGGCCTATGGTTGTTCTGTATATACTGGGTTTAAAGCCATTCTGTTACGGAAATTGAACCCGTGGTTGTTTTGGACATAATTACGGCATGTAGTTAATCATATGTATCTGCTGTTATATGTTTGATTATTCAGGTTGAATATTACATTATTTATGTACTGTTATTCACTGAGTTCGCTCATTCTGTATTTTGTCTGTTTATTTCTGTAGGTAACCAACCGGGAGTTCAGTCCTAACCTTAAGGCTTGTGTTTCTCTTGTCAACTTTGATGCGTCCAGGCACCACCTGAAGCCGTGCATTATGTATAGTTGCTGAGTTTTGATTTATGCTTTGAACGTCTATTTATGGTTCATTGTATATAATTCCTTCTTCATTAATATTTTTGTTATCAACCAATTTGTGGGGTTGAGTCGAGGCATATGTGTGTTACTTAGTGTGAAGTTGAGATCCTGGCATGTTAGGAATAGCTCAATGGATGTTATTCTATGTATTTAATATTATTGAATGCTTTCGTTCAGGCGCCGTATGATATGTATAACAGGATTAGTGTCTGTTTTCGAATGGGTCATGCCCAAACTTTTAGGGGCGGGTTTAGGGTGTGACAGGTGGTATCAGAGCACGAGTTGCCATCTCACACACGAATCCATTGAGCTTTAGGATGTCTAGCAAGACTTAGGCGTCATGCATAACATTTTGAGAGTGGATCGATGGCAACGTTATATGTATGTATTTTGTTGCTATTTATGATGATTATAATCTATGTCTGTTGCATATTCTTTTATATAGATTGGTGAATAAGGCAAGATACACAGATGGGATCAAGTTAACAATGTTACACTGCAGAGGTGTGGTAAGAATTTGAACTGATCGGTAAGTCAGTTTATATATATATAAATGGTTAGATACAATGTGTGTTATCGGTTGATCATTATCTGTGGGAAGTGATGGCGATATAATTGTGTTGTTTTACACCTATTTAAGTAAATTGATTAAATTTTAATTATATCTAAGATTAAAGGAAATGTTATATGTGTGTTACTTTATGGCCTGTTATGTCTCCCTTGCTATAACAATGATTAGATCAGTAATTCTAAGAAGCTACTGTCTTGGAATACTTTGATAAGATGTGTTTTATGTAATAATTGAGGTTGTGTTAAGTATGACCGGCCATAAGAAGGAATTCTGCATATAGTGATCCTTTTAAAATTGTGAATTTGCTTCTGGCTGACGATTTCAATAAGCCGAAAGGCTGTTCTGGGCCGAAAGGCTATTCGGGGCCGAAAACCTATCCTGGGCCGAAGGGCTGTTCTGATTATTCTGGGCCAATAGGCCGTTCTGTAATAGCTGTAATACTAGACCAAAGGCCGTTCTGAAAGTAAACTAATATCAGACTCACTATTGGATCTCATGTTTCTGTGAACGCACTGTTGTGCATTGTGAGTTATGTTGGGCAAATTGGTTATTGACCATGAGACAGTATGTAAGTAATATGATTTTGTGAACTAAGGAAATTACTGACGACTTCTGCTAGGGAATTACTGATAGTGTCTAATGAGTATTGTTTATGTGTACTTGGGATGTGATTGCGAGAATCTGTATTCTGCACTCTGTACTCTCACTTCTATAATCTGCAATCTACAATCTGAAATCCGTAAATTGTAATCTGTTCTGTTTATGTGTAACCTGTAAATTATAATTGAGAATTCTTATAAGTAACAGTCAAATGACATGCGAAACCCCGCTTATGATATGTGTCTGTCCATGTAGCACTCGCAAAACAATAGAGAATCATTAACGAATTTGATATCACATCTAAATGATTGATATTCTGATCAATTACTGCAAGAATTAGAATCCTGCTTCTGTGTAGTGATAATTTATGATTGAGGAATCATTTCTGTGATATAATTCTGTATAGATATTGCAAATTGTCAAATTAATCCCTATTTCGTATTTAAAAACTCTAATGCAAACTGTTCTGCATGACGCTGCGAAATATTTGTATGAAAATTAATTTAAGGCCTGTTCCTTTAATGTGATCTGCAAATGAGTGATTATCGGCGTGAAACTTATGTGATCCGTGTTAGTTTGGGATGTCA